TAACCCATAGATATTCCTTGGATCCCCACCTTCTGCAGAAACTGTATGCTCGAGCATGATAAAATGATCATATATTTCAATATCTATAGATAGAATGCTGTAGCGGTCAGAAGCATAGACGATGCAGCTAATGTTGTCAGGACCTTCCTTAATGCATGGTACCATCTAGGAAAAAATGGAGTTCCCAAATCCTTTGACAATGCATATAATAGCCCTATTGCTATGGTAACCAGTCCATATTGGGGCTTTATAAGCAGGGCAGACCAGGCTACAAGTGATGGTGTCACACTGTACCCTAGAGTACCCCAGTTAGGTTTCAGTGGACTGTCCTTGGTCATTGCATATCCCCAATGTACWGCTCCAAGGAATGTTAATATACATGCACCATATGCACACTGTGCATGCATTATAGTGTCTAAGTATTCTGGTGTTATGAACGACAGACCAGCAAGACTACAGAATGGAATGGCGCCAGARAAACCAAGCCATATTGCTGAGGTAGGACTGGATTTTAGGTCTTCAAACATCGAATCTTTAGAATTTTCACTACAATAACTTCTTGATAAGACAGRAATATAGGTTGCCCTTTGCTGGGAAGATATTAATTGTGATTTCTGTCGAAAATATTTTGAAACTAAGTAAACTTAAAGTAAACTTTATACGTTAGAAATTTTAAACTAGGTACAAAACGAAGGATAATGCAAAAAATATCGTGTACACTTACCTTAAAGCTGGATATATTCATTAAGAAACGATCTTTATATCCTTTTCGAGGCCAATATGAGCTCAAATGAGAAGTGGAATAGAGAGGTAAAGATATTTTCTTGAAGGAGGGCAAGCTACGTCCATAGATTCCATACCTCATGATGGTCGCCATTTTGGATCTATGTCGAATAACCACAGGTAGCCCAATGGGACGTCAAGCATCCAAGGGAGGAAGGGGTTGTCGTAGAAGAAAAGAATGTGTTGCAAATACATCTTATGTTATTTAAAGACGTATAAGACAGAAAGAGAAAACATTTCGAGAAAATATATAAAGTAGATGTTGAGTACTTCTTTATCAGTCAATACATTTTCTGTAAGACTAAACGTCTTGATATTCTGTACGTGGAAAATTAATTAACTTGGAATGAAACGGATTATCAGTATTTTACCGATAAAAGCAGGCATATTATATTTGATTGAAGAAAGTTCAATTTTGACCGATTATCTCTGAAATGTAAAGCATGGGGTTGGCAGGGGTAATGAGAACACTGGGATACTAAACAATGAAAACTGAACTGGGGCAACAGATCCTAAATCGTTTATTATATACCACCYATTTATTGACGGTTTTCACGGCCGCCATGTTGGAGGAATTTAACGAAAGATTCATCATAAGTCTCTTTTGTTATATCCTCCAACATGGCCGCCGTGTCTTTTGTAATTACATTCTCTTGGGAATGATTGAAAATCACCAATGCTTGTTTCGAACTATGCTTGGGATTTTGATACAATAGCGAAAGAACAARAAGGAAAAAAAGCCTTCTAGGAGTAAACAAAAGAAACATAAGAATGAGCATCTGGAGAAATATAGAAATAAAAATGAATTTATTTCAGAAATTCTAACAAGTATCTACATTGAATATGTATAAAAATATCTATACCCGTTATAAAAATAACAGACTACAACTTGATTTCGCGCCAATTTAATTATATGTTGTCTATAAAACTATTTTTATAGGTAATAGGACTACATGCTGTYCAATTTGGAAATGATTGAATGAAAAAATTCCGAGGACTGACAACATCGGAAGAGGCCGATAGGAGGAGTCCAATTTGGCAGTCAGAGGAATTTTTTTAATTGCAGATTAATTATTTCATCCCACCTAACTACACTAGACTGATTCCATAAGTTATAGTTTCCCTCGAAAGAATGCGAATGGAAACGATCCAAATTAATC